GCTGACTGTTAGCAGCTGCGTAGGCTCCTGCCTGACCCAATCTGTTTACTTTTTGCTCCAGGGCAGCTGATAGGATCTTTTAAAAATACAAGTCAGAGCTGGGGAGGCTGAGACAAGAAGATCACAAGTTTCCTCCCAGCCTGGGCATTCAGCGACTTAATGAGACTCTGTCTCAGAAAAAAAAAGTTGTGAAAAGGGATGGGGATGTAGCCCAGTGTGAAGGCACTGGCTTCCACCCTCAGTAACACACGCGTGTGCACACGTGGAGTCAAGGACTGCTGCCCCTCTGCCAGAACCTTCTGTGGCTTCTTGATGGATGAAAACTCCTGTCCTTGCCACGCTGTGCTCCGAATGTAGCCCCCTCTCCCTGTGTCACTCGCCTGTCTCCCATGGGCTCTGTCCAGCCTGACCCTGACTTCTGCACCACCCAGCCAAGGCGCCTTTGCCCCCCACCGAGGCCCTCCTCCCAAGGGGCGTGCACATGGCCGGCTCCATCTCTTTGGTTCTGTGTGCCAGCAGCACTTCCCGGTAAGCTTTCTGATAAAGTTCTTAGCACACTGCATGCAACATCTTCACGCTGGAATTGTGAAGAAACCATGTGCGTTCTTCCAGAGTTTGATGGTTTTGTTTTTTTCTGTCTCTGAGCCCACTTGCAGCTGCTTTTGGGGAGTGGGTACAGCAGGGGTCGGGGTAACCGTCTCTGGGCAGACCCTCCCCGTGGAGACCAGCAGCCCTGTCCGCCCGTGCGCACCTCTGTCACCGTGACTCCACGCACGCACGCGATTTCCTCTGGACTGGTGCTGCGGACCCAGGGTCTATTTCCCATCTCTGTGCCGCTTTGGCCTTTTGTTAGCTTCTTTCATTCGTGGAACGGTTTGAGCTTGTTTGCTCCGAGGAAGTGAACTTCGAATGTGGTGAGGACAATGGGAAAGAAGGAAGCGTTGGATTTTTGGGGTCAGGAGAAGATTGGTGTGTCTGGAACCTATTAAAGTAGAGGTTGCCAGACGTAAGGCCAAATCTGGCCTGCCACCTCTTTATTGTGGCCCATGAGTTAAGAATGTTTTTTAGTTTTTTTCTGCCTGGGGATTGGACTCAGGGCCTTGAATATGTTAGGCAAGTGGTCTGCCACTGAGCCATAGCCCCCTCAGTCCTTGAAAAGCTTTGAAACCAGGGCTCCCTCAGTGGCTCAGGCTGGTTTCGAACTTGTGATTCTCCTGCGTCAGCCACCCAGGTAGCTGGTATTATAGGCATGTGGCACCACGCCTGCCTTGGATTTTACGTTTTTAAGATGAGAGGAAAACATGAAACTTCATGACCCAGGAAACACAGGAACTGTAAATTTTGTGTCCACAATAGAGTTTTATTAGAACCAGGCGTGTCCTGTGTCTAGGTGTCACCTGTGTCTGTTTGCGTGCTGCCGGGGTCTGAGCCACTGTGGTGGCAGAGGCTTTCTGGTGTCCAACGTGGTTACAGTCAGGCCGTCATGGGAAATATTTGCTACCCTGCTAAACAGATCAGCCTGAGCTGTTGGGGACAGCTGCATTGCCCGGGACGTGACTGCGGGCTGAGGGTGTGCAGAGGAGGGGTTTGCAGTCTCTAAGCTGGGTTGCAACGTTTCGCCCTAGGCTGTTTGTGGCAGGAGGCAGAAATGTGTTTATTTTCTGTTTCAGATCAGTCTAGCCTGGTCAAATCAGGTTTATGGTTTTAGGTAGCAACCCGAGATTGTTATTTTAATCTCTGAACTTGTGTGTATTTTAATCATTTTTCTCAGTGACAGTGGTTAAACCGCTCTGAACCACATATGCCAGCTTTTAATGAACTGGAAGGTATTAGAATAAATCTTCTAACAAGTGTGAGCGTCTTAGTCGCAGCATTACAATGGCTAGCATTTAGCTTCCTTTTCAGTAGGAGGTCCCAGCTGCTGAATGCACTGTAAAATGTGTGTACATACAGTATGTTAGGCCATCTTAACGGGGACATATAATCACAGGTAGTTTTCTTCAATTGTACTCAAGCAGGACTTGCCAAGATTAAACCTACAGATCTGTTCAAACTTGAAGGAAATGAAATTCTACCTTTTGTGTAAGTCAAAGGCTTTTTTTGTCTGTAATGTAACATTTCATTTATATATTGTCTTCAGGGTACGCATTCCTATGTAATAGGAATGTCTAATGGCTGAATTTTAATTATCCTTTGAGTTTTTTCTGCCTTCTGTGAAAGAGGTAGCTCAGCTTTTTAAGGTCTTTGTATTTTCTGTTGTTAGTTTGGTTAAAGAGAAAGGACAGCAATTGTTAGTGTCTGCGTTGCAGGAATGGCTGACTTACCTGGCTGTTTCGTGTGGTCATTAGACATAAGTAGCTGTTTATGTTGTATCCACTCCTTAAAATAGGACCGGCCTTCAGCCTGTGCGTCTAGGCTGTGCGGCTCTTGATGGGAGGCTTGAGCCGGTCCTCTTCCGGGCTCTGCACCCGAGAGCATGGCTCAGTGCCCAGGCCAGCAAGCACTCAGACCGCAGATCGTGCTATCATGGGGGCACAGGCCGTGCTGGTTGTGCTGGTCCCCTGGATGTTGAAGCCTGGCTTGAGTCAGTTCCTCTAGTGAGTGCCTCCTGGGCCTGCAGATACAGAAAAGATGAGGCACTCGCAGCCCCTGGTCTTCTGGGGCCTAGAGTCCAGCCAGGAGGGAGGCTGAAGTGGACGGGTTAGCGCCAGCCTTGGGGTGGGAGCAGAGCACCCAGGGCAGCAGGAGGGTTTCTCTAGGCCCATTTGAAAAGGGTTTTAAAAATGGTACATACGCAGGATCCTCCCAGCAGAGGTTGGGTAGGCCTGGTGGAAGGGGCATCTCCGTGGAGGGAGGTATGCGGCAGTGACTCAGGATTGGAAGTGTGTTTGAATCCGTGGGGGTGCGGCCCACCGGGCGTGAATGATGGGGATCAGTGTCCCTTGCGTAGTAAACAGATGTGTTGTCGTGTGTAGATGCTGCCATAAGGGATTCTTTAGTAGCTATTGATAGTTATTTGGATTTCAGGAATGGCTTGGTCGGCTTTAGTTCCTCTGGAAAGACAGAGCACAGAGGAGCAGCTGAAAAAAGCAACCCTGGCTTTTCTAGTATAGGCGTGTGTGAATTCGCATGCCTTAGCCATCTGCGTAGAAAAAGGAGGTAATATAGATTATTGAGGTTGTAGAGCTGTATTTTTATTTGTAACATTACATAATAAATGTCACGAAAGCATTGTATGGTGAAGTTGGATTTGCGGTTTGGCATAGGAACTGCGGTCACCCTCAGGTCCTCTGCTGTCCTTTCCGCACCTGAGTGCACCCGGCAGTGGGCTCAGTGCTCAAGGCCACCCGGGAGTACGAGTGAGCATTCTTTTCATGGCAGCTTTGTCGCAAGGTATGTTTCCTGTATTCCGCATTTCATACAGCTGCCGAGGCGGTGGAAAGCTTGGATTTCACTGTTTTCAGCTGTTGCTCCTCATAGAGACCTGGGTCAGTGTTTCCTGATGCACTTAGGCTGACGGGAGAGATCCAGGCAAATTATTTTATGTGTATCCAAATTTTCAGTTGATTAATTTATACTGTGCTTTTTTTCAAAACAAATTTGAAGTGCTGAAAAATAATAAAAAAGATGAAAGATGGTGAGAGGAGCTGGAGACATACTTTACTCGTACAGTGCTTGTGGGGGTTTGATCCCCAGCACCAACCAGCCAAAAGCAAACCAGATCCCCCCAACCCAGTCCAGACCAAACTAGACCAAACCAGCCAAGCCCAGCCCAGACCAAATCAAACCAGCCCAACCCAGACCAGACCAAATCAGCCCAACCCACAACAGACTTAAACTAAACCAGACCAAACCAGACCAGACCAAGTCAGCCCAATCCAGACTAGACCAAATCAAATCAGCCCAACCTAGACCAAAACCAAACCAGACCAAACTAGACCAGACCAGACCAGACCAGATCAGACCAAATCAAACCAGTTCAACCCAGACCAAATCAGACCAGCCTAAACCAGACCAGACCAAACCAAACCAAACAAATCAGACCAAACTAAACAGACCAAGAGAGGAAATTGGAGACAAGGAAAAAGCCTGATAGGAGATGATTCATACCGTTGTTCACCCTGACCACACACTTGACTCCAGGTTCCCCAAAGGCCCAGACAGAGAGGGAAATGGAAGCCACGTGGTTCTTGTCTCTCTCTCCACAAGCCAGCCATGCCCCACGTGGTGTGCAAGAATCCCTGATTCTGGGGCTGGGGGTTTAGCTCAGCGGCATAAGTGCCTGCCTTGCAAGTGTGTGGTCGTGAGTTCGATCCAAAAAAAATGCTAAAGCTGGTGGACAGGAAGTGTCCCCTCACCTGGAAGGGGTGGGCCACCTGTGGAGTGGCTTTGGGAGGCCCCAGCAGGCCCCTCATCCTCGTGCTGGGCTTGAGGCTGCCCAGAGAGAGCAGAGTGGACATCTATGCAGTCAGCATTATCTGCAAGAGGCTCTTCTCTGCCCAGCCTCCCACCATTCAGACCCCTTTGGGGGTGCATGCAATGAGGGAGCTGGCCTGCATTTAGTGGCCAAGTGGCAGAGAGCAGCTCTTATTTTCAGAGCGCTAGTCAGATGGCCAGTGCAGGCCGCAGACCTGGCATGAGATGCATGCACAGACAGAGGCCCCTGGCCACCACAGGGTTGCCTCCTGTGTGTGCTCCCGCACGTCACACAGTGCATCTGCTGGGTGGTGGCTCTGCTGGTCACTTGTTGCGTGGCCTTCTCTTTGGTGAGGGCAGCACCAATTCTGGCTGTCAGGAAGGTTAAGAAAGCGAATGCCCAGCAGGGCCGAGCAGGGCTTGTGCTTGTGTACATGCAGCTCTTGTGTGTGGTGTGGGCACTAAGCTGGCTGAGGGATGGCGAGCTCGCCACTCCCGCGTGGAGCAGGCAGAGTGGTTTCCGAGCACATCATTTGAAAATGAGAACCACCCCCCCCACTTATAACACTTTTGTCTTCTTCTAGAGAAACAGCTCCCAGGACCATCTTCCAGAGAGTCTTGGATATCTTGAAGAGATCTTCTCTCACTGTTGAGCTGGCCTGCAGGGATCCGACCCAGGTGGAACATCTGGCTTCCAGCCTGCAGCTGATAACAGAGTGCTTCCGGTGTCTCCGCAACGCGTGCATAGAGTGCTCTGTGAACCAGAACGCCATCAGGTAGGGTACCCCAGGGACACACAGACCTCCACGTGTATCTCCACGTTTGTGTGTGTGCTGGTTCTGTCATATGGGACTGTCTATAAGACGGCTGGCTTTGGTGTCTCGCATTGCTTTTCCAGGACTGACCTTTACTGCCACCGCCCAGGAGAGCATCCTCTGTATGTCACAGTCCTGAATCAGTGAGACTGGGCTATGACCCTGCATGGAGCAGGGTGTGTTGAACCCGAGGGGTTATTTAGATTTCCTGTTTGTGATTGTATGTGCTCTGAGATATGTGACTCTGTCTTATCAGATTCGAACTTACATTTGATTCTTTGCTTGAAAATTCTGCCCTCTGAGTTCCTGTGTAGTTCCGTATTTGTTTTCTGTTTTTTGGGATCGAGGATCAAACTCATGACCCCCTGTTTGCCAAGCAGGCACTTACGCTGCTGAGCTAAACCCCCAGCTCCTGTGTAGTTCTTAACTTTGCTTGTTGTACTTGCAAATGTTTTCAGTAGTTACTTGTTGCCTTTTTTTTTGGTCCTGGGAATTGAATGCAGGACCTTGCGCCTGCCGGGCCAGGTGCTTATGCTGCTGAGCTGCAGCCCTGGCCTTGTGGCTTACTTTGAACAAGAAGCAGGTTTTGTAAATTTTGAAGAGGATTTGTCTTGCATTCCAATGTCTGATTTCTGTTTTATTGTATTTTTATTTTAGTTAGAAAAGGAGATTGCCCCACGCAGTTCTTTTCTTTTACTTGTTATTCTCTCCTCCTAGAACTGATCCTTTTTCATTTTTGATTTCATGGAATCGGCTGTTTATTAACATTTTTACTTGAAGTCAGAAGCCACAGGCTGGATGCCCAGCCTTTTTTCCCTAGCCCTTCGTGTGGAGCCTCCAGGCCTTCCTGCTGCTGCTGTGATGGGCGAGGCTGGGCTGGCCCAGAAGCTGTTTGAGGGGTGTCCTTTGCTGCATGACAGTCTTATGCTCGAGGCTTTGATATGATTAATGAGCTTTTTAGATCAAAGGACGGGGTGGGGGGAAAGGCTGGGGTTAACTACAGTGCTAAACTAAGCCTGCTGTCCATTTGCAGAAAAATGGATTGAAGCAGTAATAATCTTGCTAATAATAGTTAATATTTTAAAACAGAACTAGTTCTGTGCTAGAAGCATCTGCCAGGGATGTGCTCCACAGTGGTATGGAAGGGAAGTCACATCTGCTTTGCTGGCCTCCATGCCTGCAGTGTCAGGGTAATTCTTAGGACAAACTGAACACCTAGTGCACCAAGATGCCCGTTTTTACAAGGGAAGAAGCTAACTAGGAAAAGTTAAAGAATGCATCCTAAAATCACTCACTGAACCAGCACAAGGGTCTGGAATGTTCTGTCCGGCTGCAAGCATCTAACTGTAAAACTTAGCTGGAAAGCATGCCAGGCATGCCTGTCCTGAGGCCTGCATACTGCCCCATGGCCTGTGACTTCTCCATCCCTTACACTGGACCCTGGACAAGGGAAGAGGCATTCTGAGCATCATTGTTCTCCTCTGTCACACAGGATGGCAGTGAGGCGTAGGTGAGACTCCTTAGTGAAATGCCTGCCCCAGCCTGTGTACTCGGGATGATCCGTGTTCGCGTTTCTGACTCAGAAGTGCCCGGACAGTACAAGCTTAAGGAGATACTACTTTCTTTAGGCTGGGGATTTAGCTTAGAGGCACAAGCGCCTGCTTGGCAAGTGCAAAGTTGTGAGTTTGATCCCCGGTTCCCCCCCAAGAAACAAAAATAAAACAAAAGAAGTACTTTTTTTTAAAGCAATTAATTCTTTTAGCAAAATGTGCAAGTTGTAAAGGCTCAAACATAAAAATACATTTTATAGCCAATAACAGTCCTCCAGCATGGCTGCCAAGCAGGGGCGAAACGTAGTTACCAACATTCTTTATTGCACACCACTTAGGTTGGCAGAAACTCAAACAAACAAGGGCATTAGTTTTTCTGTTTCTGAATTTCTGTTTTATCCTACAGTCATTGTTGATTTTCAAAGGGAAATTCCACCCATTTAGGTCACTAGCTCCTAAAAATAATTTTCTAGTGAGACGTATAAGAGCTTCCAGTGAGAAGTTCGCAGCCACCTTCAACAAGGCCAGTATTTCTGAGCTGGTCAGGGTTCAGATTACAAACCATGTTTTCTTTTCTGGTCTTTAAAAATTAAAGTTACTAAGGAGTTGCTCGGAGGCATGATGCTTCTCAGGCCGGATCTTTGTGTACGGAAGGGGATGAAGCAGTGTGAGCTCCCTGATGTTTGAGGACACACTCGGGAGAGTCCAGAGCGGTCAGCCGTGCGTGTGAGGTGGCTCCTGTGGCCAGGGTTCCTGCACCACTTCTGTAGAGGGCCGGCAGAGGCCTGAGAGGCTTTGCATCAGGTTTCTCAGCTCTCGGGGTGCAGGCTGAGAGCAGCCCCGGGTAGTATGAATGAGTGAGCCCGGCTGTGTTCCAGTGAAGCTTCACTTTTGAACAAAGGCATTTGGAATTCATGAAATTATCATGGTATAAGTGGTATCCTTTTGATTTTTTTTTCTCCCAAACATTTAACAAGGCCAACACTATCGTTAGCATACTTGCGGTACAGAGATAGGCAGCAGGCCCAGTGCCTGGCAGCCATCTGTCCACCTCGAAGCAAGCGGGGAAGAGTGGAGCAGCCTCTTCCCGAAAGTGGGTGCTGCGCTCTTTCCCTGCATCTCCAGCAGGAGAGAAGAGGTGAGGAGCAGGGCCCCTGACCCCCTGGGCTTGGGGCATGGAGAGAGGACCACAGACACAGTGACCCTGACCGCCAAAGCGCCTTCCCTATAACCGGGGCTTAGCACAGGGTTTTGGCATTCAGTCTGTGCAGAGTGGGAGTCTTCTCTTTAACAGTGAGTGTCTGCGTGCAGAGGAGAGCTGAAGAAATCATGGAGCTGTCTTAGTTTCCTGTTGCTGCCGTAACAAACTGCCACAGACTCGGGCTAGAAACAACAGAGTTTTTGTTGTTGTTTGCTTTTGTTGTTGGTACTGAGGATCAAATTCATGACCTAATGCTTACCAGGCAGGCTACTGAGCTAAAAAACCTGGTCAACAACAGGGAGTTTTTATCCTATGGCTCTGGAGTTCTAGGTCCACAGTTAGTCCACCGGCCTACAGTCAGAGCATCTGTAGGCCTGTCTCTTTTGAGGGCTCTAGAGAATTCGTATCCATGTCTTGCAGTGGCTGCCCGCGTTCCTTGGCTCAAGGCCCTGTCCTCCATCTTCAGAAGCAGTAGTACTGCTGGGCCTGGCTGGGGTACTCCTGATATCTCCCTACTCCTGAAGGCCGAAGCAGAGAGATTGCAAAGTTTAAGCTCAGCCAGGCAACTCAAGAGTCTTTGCAAGATTCTGTCTCAAAAGTTTGAAGGGGGAGGTGCTGGGGTGTAGCTTAGAGCAGAGGCCTGGGTTTAGTCTCTAGCTATACACACATACATACATGAAGATGCAGTAGTAGTATGGCATCTGACATCTCCCTCTGTCTCTTTTTTTTTGAATCTGATCTTCTTGGGTCTGTTTCATGAGGACTCTCACTAGACGATGACCCAGGATACTCTCTGTCTCGGACCATGGCCATTTAACCATACCTACAGAGATCTTGACACCCATCAATTCAGATTCTGATGCCATTCTGAGAACTCACCTTCGTTCTGACTGGGGGGGCGGAGGTGGTGTCAGACCCCATCACTTACAGGCTCAGATCAGAAGGCTGCTCCCCCTTCCGAGGCCAGGGTGTGCTCCTGCGTGGCTGAGGAGAGCTGGGCCGTTGGTTGAGTCCCCGACCCTCCTCGGGTTTGACGAGTCCCTGGAGCTGCTCACAGAGGAAGGAAGCTGTTTGCTTACTACAAAGGAGGCACCTCACACCATCCCAGTGGGAGACAGACCCATGACAGTGTGGCACTGGGGCCGGCAGGTGCCCTCTCTGGGTGTGCCCCCCACTTTCCTCCAGACTCCCTTGTGTAGGCAGGATTGTTTCAGTCACTGACCACTGGTCATCGAATTCAACCTTTGCCCCTCTTCCCTCCCCTAAGGGGCGCTCGGGCCAGCCCCCCTCTGAGCTCTGCCTGAATTATCTCCTTGGCATGAATGCGGGCAGGATCGGAAGACGCCCCTTTCATTGAGCAAGGTCAAAGGGATTTGGGGGTCTCTGTGACTGTGCCAGGGACCCAAGGCAAAGACCAAATACAGATTCCTTTTTATGCCACATGTCTTTTGCTGTATTGTGCATTTATAGAGGTCCACGGTTTACAACGCGGATTTCTTTGGAGGACCATTCTTTTGCTTCCTACAGTCTGTTTGGCCCCTGCGTCTGTCATACGTGCAAAAATACATTCATCCCGCCCTAAGATTCCCAGAGTCTCAGCCCAGGATAGCATGGCTCCCATTCAGCATGTCCCTAATCTTGTCAGCTCTGGGGTTAGTTAAAAATTCCCGCGATCCCTGTCCACATGTGTACCTGGGAAACCAGGGAGCGAGTGACTGCCCAGGTGTAAGGTGACAGCTGGACAGGCCAGGACAGCAGCGTGGAGGCCGAAGAGGAAAGATCGCGAGTCCAAGTCCCAATCCCTTTGCCCTTCCCTTGCCTTGGCCTCCACGTGCCCTGGGGGATGCAGTTCCGGCAGGGCCTCTTGCCCCTGTGGCAGGGCAGGGTTGCTTTCCTCCAGTCTCTAATGGCACGCCTCTCCTTCCCTCTTGTGCACGCCCTGCAGTCCGGGACCCACATTCCCCGCTGCCACCCCAAGGCACTGTGGGCCTTTCCAGTCCTGTTCTCAGAGTCCTCTTAGCTTTTGTCCCTTGCCAAATTCCAGGGTACTTGTGAGAGCAGCGCCCCACTCCTGCTCCCCTAATCCACAGTAGCTTCCTTTGCTGCTGTAACAAATGCCAAACACTTAATGGTTTAAAACATCGTGCATCGTGCAACTGTTATCCTACAGCTCCGGGATTCCAGAGGTTACAAGGGGTTGGTACGGCTGCGCCCTGCGTTCCCTTCCGGGGCTTGGAGGGAGACCCTTTCCTTGCCTTCCAGCCTCCAGAGGCTGCTGCATTCCTTGGTCAGTGGCTTCGTCCGGCCTGGTGTGGTTTATAAGGACACTTGGATTATACTGGGGCCCTGCATATCCAGGGCAGTCTTCCCACCTCAGGGTGCTTAGCTTGGTCTTCTTTTTGCCGAGGAGGGTGATCCATTCACGCACTTGGGAGATGAGGATGTGGATTTCTCTGGAGGCTGTTACCCTGCCCACCATAGGAACTTTCAGCTGGTGATGTCTACGTCGTGCGTAAATCATCATCTGAATGCAGTTTTAGGAAAGAACATGTCTAATTTTGTGTTTTTAAAACCTGATGCAGGAACTTGGATACAATTGGCGTTGCTGTTGATCTGATTCTTCTGTTTCGTGAGCTGCGCGTGGAGCAGGACGCCCTGCTGACAGGTAAGTCGGGGTGGGGTGGAGAGTAAACTGAGCTCGGCCACATCGTCTGTGTTCCATGAGATGGGGAACTTCGGCAGTGAGGTGTTAGCAGGTCAGAAAGCTGCAGGGACTGAGCTGTGTTTCTTCTCTCCTCCTCCTCCGTTTCCTCCTCTTCTTTTCTTCCTCTTCCCTCTTCCTCTCTTTTTCTTTCATAGTACCGGAGGTTTCAGGATCACGCATGTTAGCTAAGTAATCTATCCCGAGCCTAAGTTTTTTGCTTTGAGACAAGGTCTTGATGACTTGCTCAGATTGGGACTTGGCCTTGTGGTCCTCCTTCTGCTGCCTGCCCGTACCTGGCCTTACGGGTGTCCCCTGCCTGCTCTCCTTGCCGTTACTGTGCAGTCTTCCCGAGTCCCTCCGGCCACCACGTGGTGTCCTAGCCTGGTGCCTGGGGAGCAGTGGTTTATTGCTGGAGTGCTGGAGGCTGGGAACTGAGGCACTGGGTTCGCCGTGCGGTGAGGGCTGCTCTCTGGCTTACAGATGTCACTTTCTTGCTGTGTCCTCACATGGTAGAAAGGTACAGGACAAGAGCCACCCCTGACTTCTTTCTTACAGGGGCGTTTGCCTCAGGATCTAGGCACTTCCCAAGGGCCACTTCTTTCCACCAGGGCACTGGGATTTGATTTGAACACTGAATTTTGGAGCGACACAAACATTCCGACCCCAGGCAAGTCCTAACCAGAATAGGACGGTACGTGGAGGTGGATTTTTAAGGTGGTGATTACACCGAGGATGTTAGAGGCTGTCCTTACGAGAGGAGGGATTGTGATACAGACAGATGCGGAGTAAAGAGCAGGTGAAGATGTAGGGGAAGGCCGCTGTCCCACGCCAAAAAGAGGCCGCAGCAGAGAGTGCTGCTGGTTCCCCTCTCGGAGCTCGTTTGCTCCAGGACTGTGAGGAAACCGCCGTCTGTTGCTGACGGTGCCTGGTCTTTCAGTCGTGTCTGAGCTTCCTAACGCACTGTCTTCTGATAGTTATGCCCGTGACAGGCCCTCCTGGAGGTTTGGGTACGATCCCAACAGTGACCAAAACAGACAAAAATTTCTACCCTCAGGAGCTCACATTCCAGTGTGAGGAGCCAGGTATTAAATCTGTTAAATAAGTTAGGTACAGACAGGGAAGCTAGTTTTGCTCGTTGCTAGCTGTTGATTAAGAGAAACACCAAGCGGCTTAGCTTGAAGAGCTGAAAGATTATGTAGGCTGTTTTGAATGTTTTTAAATCTTCATACTGGGAACATCAACACTTCTTTGGGACAGGGGTTGTTGCAGGAACGTTAAAAACATCAGGGGGTTCTGCATGTGATCTCTTGTCTGAGGAATGGAGAGGTTTTAGGATAAGTCTGAGTTATTTGATACCCAAATCTTAATGCGGATGTCTGGTGAGGGTGCGTATGAGGTGTGATCAGAAACATGGTGAGCCCTGCTGCTGAGTGCCTTGCAGCTGGAAGGCAGCTCATAAAACCGTCACAGAGCGTCCTCACTTCCCGAGTGCACCAGCTGTGACACTGGTGACTTCCGGCTCTTCCCCAAAGTCCAAGTGATCATGAAAGGGAAACGCTTTGAATCTGGTACATCGAAGCGACCAGGACAGGACAGCTGAGGACACGAAAGGGGTTTCCAGAACTTCTTCAGAAAGTGGCAAGAACGTTAGCATACCTGTGTTTAAGGTGAGGGGGAGGATTTGAAAGGAATTAATGGAACTGTGTCTTGTACTGTAATAACTTAAAAAAATTAAGCACTATTTTTTACCGCATCTTATAGGCATAGACTTCGGCACAGTCTTTAATCCCCGCTCTGACTACCTGAGGCTTGGTTACGTTAGTGTGAGTGTGTGTGTTACTCTTGGCGGCGGTGACAGTTAGAGGTGAGTCTCCTTTTACGGGCACGAAACCTGAAGCTCGAGGTGGAGTTGTGTGGCAGAGTGTGCCCAGGATGGCTTAATTTTTCTGTTTTGTGGTTTCTTGGTGTTTTCATTTCAAATTCAGTTTGCCAAAATTCTTGGCTCTTTCTGTTTGGTTTGTAAATCATCCCTTGAGAAATGGTACTTTTAAGAAAATTAATTATGCCAGCTAAGAATTATAAACAGCATCTTTTTCTGAGCAATAGTAGTTTTGTAAGAATTTTCAAGAAATGGACAGGGTATAGGATTTAGTTGTGAAGTGTTTATAAGAAGTTCTGTATCTAGAACGGTTTTTATAGCTCCGTTTGTAATGAAATGGTAGCCTTGGGTACTCAAAGTTGGGGGATTAGAAGTTGACAGCCAAGTCTGTGTTTGACTGTTGGGTGGCGAGGCCACTGCCCCGAGTCTGGGTGGTGGGGTGGGAAGGTTAGGGATGCACCCCATTTTACCACAGCTGGAGAACACCGGAGCGGGGCCTCGGTGGGCAGGAGCCAGGGCCCTCAGTGGGTGTTCCCACATGGAGGAGCAGGGTGGGCATGAGTACGTGCTGTTGGAGCCCCCGACCCCTTTTCCGCAGCGTGGGATCCCACCTGCTCACCTGCACTGGGCTGTCCTCTGGACCCTGCCTCCATCAGCGGCTAGTGGGATCTTTCTGTCACCTGTCTTCTCAGCAGCATCTAAGGCTCTCTGCTGCTTTCTGTCTTAAAAATGTTGGGGCCAGGGATGTGGCCTGGCTGCACAAGCCCCTGCCTGGCAAGTGCGAGGTCATGAGTTTGAGCCCTGGTGTGTGTATGTAGATGCCTTCCTGGATTCCTCACTCTCTTTTCCTGGCCATCCCGAGTCTCCTGTAGAAGATGTGTGTATCCCTGGGTACAACACCCAGTTATGGAATCTTCCTTCTCAGGGGGCTTTCCAGAGAAGCGGGCGGCCCGGGGAAACGTAAAGGGAAGCGCGCCTCGGAGCCAGGCTGCCGTGGAGGAGCGTGCTGCGTGGGGCAGAGAGGGCGAAGCTTAGCGGCCTCGTCTCTGTTATGAGGAGCGCCAGTTGTTACAGGTTAGGTCATTGTGGGCATGCCAGTGTATAAATTAACGTTGGGACAGGTTTTATACTAAAGTGATCCGTGACGTTTCAGTACATTCACCAAACCGCAACCACCACTTCTGCCTCATTAAAAACACTTTGCTACTCCAAGAGGAGACCCTGTTTTCGGTAGGCAGTTGCTGTCCAGGTCCTGCCCGTAGCTCCTGCTGACCAGGGTTCCGCGTTTGTCTCTTTGGACTCGCCCGTTCTGGTTCTGATAGAACAGAACCAGAAGCGAGACGCCTTTGTGCCTGGCGCCTTTCAGCCGCTTGTTGTCGGACTCCTCCTCACCGTACAGATACCCAGGACTTGGCTTCTTTTGGCTGTAAGGCTCCTTGGTGTGGAGGACCACGCTCATCCATTATCCTTTGGTAGAAGGGTGGCTTCGCCTTTGGTGTCACGGTGATGCTGCCGTGCGCCCACGTATTTCTATTTACGCTCCTATTTGCAGTTCCCTTGGCTGTGTGCTTAGACTGGAACTGCTGGATCGGACGATGGCTCTGTCTTTGTCACGTGGAGGTGTGGCTAACCTGTTCCCGAGCAGCCAAGCCTTGTACATTTTCACCATTTCACCAGCTGTGTGTGAGTTTCTTCATCTGCGCCGGACACTTTGCTTTGGATTGCAGTCTTCCGCGTGGGTGTGAACCCAGGAACGCATTGTGGTGGTATTTGCGTTTCCCGGATGGCCAAGGTGTTGGGCATCTGCATGCGCTCACTGGCTACTGAATCTCCCTGGAGAAGTGTCTGTTTATTACTTTGCCTACTTGGCTTAATGGTGCGTTGTTTTATCTTTGGGTTTATGTGTCATTATACATTCCAAATCCTGAGGCTTATCCGTGTCTTGCAGGTCAGTTGGGAGGTTCCCATCTCGACGCTGCTGTTGTAGCCCCTGACGGGGGAGCGCTTCCCTTTATTTCTGTTCCTTAAATCTCTGAGCTGTGTCAGTTCTAAGTCGCTAACCTGGGTCCCCTTGTACTCCTGAGGTGAGGAGAAACATGAAGCTTCAGTTCTTACCATCTTGTTGCAAAACGTACCTTAGTACAATTACTGAATTTTATTTGTAATTCAGCATTGAAATTCGGATTCAGCAAGAACTTTAACTTTTTTTTCACTTTTTATTATTTTATTTATTTTTTGAAACTTTTTTATAGTATATAAGTTTGAAGGTAATACAAACAATCTTATAAAAAAATCTTCTTTATGAAGCGTCCATACCACCTTCCAGTATTTTGTCTGTGAGAACCTTTGGGAGATTTTTAGCAGGGTGACTGTGCCAGTTTTTTTGTTACCATTCTTGAGGTAAGAGCTGTAATTATGTTGTCAAAATAATATTTAGAGTATTATTTTCAGGGAATAATTGCAGTGGGGTGACAAATATATTATTCTCATCAAATTTTATGTAAACACGGCATGAGTTATTTTAATTGGGTTACTGATGTTGTTTTTGGCCTTTATTCTTTCCTAATCTGTAAAAATAGCTTTGGGATTTCTGAGGGGCTTTGTAACTTTTGCAATATTTACATAAAGATCAGTCGATAAGTTGTTTGGAAAAAGTAAACTGTCATTTTACTTGCCTGGAGTTTTCTGGTGTCTAGGGCATCTGTACACCTTTCCCTTTCCAGAACTGTGTTCTTATTCAGAACCCCAGCCTTGATTTGCCTGATGGATAAATGGGTCTGTTGACCTTCAGACCAACTTCTGTTGTTACAGTCACTTGTTGCATGTTAAACTTTACACAGATATGAGTAACAATATTCTAAAGCATTCAGTTAGGAATATTCTTTCAATATATCTTATCTGAAAAAGTTAGTTCTACGATAAACCTTAATATATGCTCATTATAAGCTGATTTTTAAACAGTTACAAAAATAAGACAGGAAGAAAATCATCAGGCTATGAGGAGCAAGTTTTTAGTTGTCTTTCTCAGTGTTATAGTATGAGATGAAGAGATCCCCAGCCCTGTGTTGTGTATTTTTTATTG